ACTGCGTCTTAGCCATAAAATTCTGACTGTTGTGAGCATGGCAGTTCTTTCGTACGTAAACTGGTTAGAGAAATCTTATATTAATCTCACTCTCAGGTCAAACCACCTTTCATTGGCTACCCACGCTTTCTGATGGCTTGTCTGAAAACTCTTATCGGCAGTAGCTGCCCAGAGAATGCTCAATTTGTTTTAGAGGTAGATTGAAAGATATTTCGTCTGCGTTGCTATTTCAGCCTCGTCATGTATTGCTGTCATTGAAATTAGAAAACTGACGTAATGTTTCAGAAGCATATAATTCGAAGTTCATGAACATCATCTTTGTCACTCATTTCTTTTAAAATGCATCGGATCAAAGCAAGGTCGATGACATCTACCACCTATCCACTACACATTAACACATTAGTGCTATGACAGCTTCAACCCAAGAACATCGCTTCCCAAAGACCATTAGGGTATCTAATTGCACTTACGTCTGATGGCACTTCAAAAAATCCATATGGACGTCCATTCACCACTGTCACCCGCGTCGATCCATTCGCCGTTCCGAACTCTCTGTAGTTTCTTGCTACCACAGTGAAGGAAGCTGACCCGATGGACTTCCAGTCTTCAAAATCATTCTCCGAGTTGAAGTAAATATCCCCATTGGAATTAATCCTAAATAGGCGTTTTTCTCTAGTACCATACACGAGGCGGTATTTCAAGATCTGACAATCAGCGGGAGGATCATTCGGTGTGGCGCAGAGATCCTTGTCGGTAGCAATGAGTTGAGCTACCTTTTGCGTGTAGTCCTGTAGACGTGGTCTCACCATATACTCTGGGGCTGTAAATTCTGGCGGGTTGTTGTCTGATTGTTGTTTTATTGAATCGACAGAAATCACGTTTTCTGGTGACTGAGCAGTAACAACGATGTCGTATCTCGTTGGTTTAAATCAGTTGTGTCCCAGACAACGCTTCCGACTACATTGGCAGAGAAGTCATGCTTATTGCTAGAACGCAGTATTAAACTGAGTGCATATTAAGAGAAATAATCCCAATTTTAAACCACAAAATGAACAATCTCATTGTTCTTTTCCCAAATTAGCCGTAGGGTACGTAGATAGTTAACTTAATGCCTTAAAATGCTTAAATCCTTGGCACTTTTGGCTACACAATAGCCGCTAATGAATCGCCCTTTTACAAACATTGATTTCGATTGCAGGTTGTATTTCCAAAGACGTAGATTATGCATAATACAGTACATAGTACAGTAATATTTAAACGAAGATCGTTTTGACGCATAAGCCTGAATCGTGTTCTTAATCACTTCAAGCTAGCAACACAAAGCCATGAATCAAAATTGAATAAAGATCCCTTTGGGCATTTTTGGGTGATATCACTTTATGAAAATGCATATTATAGTAAGTATTGTGGTTTTCATTTGTGAGACACCAAAACAGTACCAACGTTGGCCTAGTGAATGTCAAAGGATTGGTTAAATGTCAAGCATTTAACTATGGGCCACTTTGAGAATTCGATAAACACAAAATCACAGCAGAGTTTTTCTTCAAACCTCCCATTTTCCAATTAAATGATTAATTAAATAGCAGCACCCTGCTTGTAGATAAATTCCAGCAACGTACACAGAGTTTCACACGAACTGCCTTGTCTGCATGGAGGGCATCCATCGGGTAGAATAGGCACAACTGAAGAACTAAAATAAACAGTTCAATAACCAAGAACATCTGATTTCAATCAAATCAAAACTCACGTTTATGTGCTCAATCTTTCAAAAGCAATAACGGCTGTGTGAATGACCATTTGAGCATTCAAAAATTTGCATACATTACCTTAAATAACGTATATTGTTGATATTCATTGCGTCCTTGGTATTCACAACGGGTTAACTTTGAGAGGAAATCAAATGTATTTACTGTGACCTCCTTTAATACACGCATTTGGCAATAAAGTGAAAGAGCGTCCAAGTCATTTCCGTTCAAGTGTAATTTCCGTCGTTAGATTTCACTTGTTCCATCCTACTATGGTCCACTCGATTTTATTCTTACATAGTAGGCGGCAACAGAGCTACACACCATCGTTATGGCACACTGAACAGAGCTACACGTTTGTCACATCGAATAATTCAGACCTAGTTGCCAGAGAACTGCTGCAATGCATCGAAAGGTGCAGAACTGCTTAAAGGTATTTTAATTCCCGAATTCGAAGTAGACATCAACAGTAACTCACCTTAGACGTCTGCAAGTGTCATACTGAAGCAGCTGAGGGCTCGAGATGAAAACATTTGTGGGTCTGCCTAGGTGAAATAGCAGCCAGAACACCAAGATGAATTTCATTCTGAGCTTGAACTAATGCTTTTCAATTTTGACTTCACGGAAAATGCCAAGTCCTATTAAAACTTTATTTCAGCCAATAGTGTTTTCGCACAGAAACACTATTTCAATGTGACTGCTTGGTGTCAGTCAACGCGGTGAATGCACAGAATTGAAGCAAAACAAACACTACTGAAAGACGCTCTATACGTCAGTCTTTGTCCGCTTGGATTACTTCATAATGTTTTTGAACCACAGGTGGGCTTTAGAATGTAAAGCGTGCATGGCACAAAGACAGTAACAATTAAGCTTATTGTGCATCGAAATAAAACACACCGACGCTGCCTGCCGGCTTTTTAAGAACATTTGCCTTAAAATGGTGTGCTTCCGAATCAGCTACATTGTTGTCATCGTCCATTTAGACGTGACATCCAAAATAACCTTTTAAGGATGCTAGCAACTAGTCAACTAGAAGTTATTTTTGTTAAGCATTAGCTGCAGCCCTGTGCTACAAAACACTTTGCATTAGCTAACAGGGCTCCGAATCTCTACGAGGGAATGATGGCAAAGTTTGCCTCATGAAGGGTGCTAAAAATGTAGGTGATTCTCTGCCTCGTTCGTAGAAGGACTTCCTAACCACAAGATTTTAAGTAGATTTCAAACATATTCTGGTCGGTCAGCAGTTCGCAAAAAAAGCTAGAATTTGACAATACGTTACCGCCTTGAGTCCAAACGGAAAACTGTCCTCACACCTACTCGTGCTGGTGTCTAAAATTTCGAGTGGTTTATTCCATGCTATTTACGCCTTGCGAAACCTAGTCAAGGTTCAACAAGAAAATTGACATTGCACGTGAACGTCAGTCCATCGCCTTAAGACGAAATGGACTGTTTGAACGTATTGACTTTTAAAAAGTTCTCTTTGCTATAGCAAGATAACCCAGCACCATGGAAAAAAGCACTAGTCATCGATTGTACGTGGAATTCATTACGTGATAAGAAAGAACATAGGCGCTTCTGTGTGCAAATTATTAGTGGGTAAGCATTACAAATACATGGAGCACTCTTCTAATCATTGTCCGAACCGTCATGATCAGACCAGCTTCGCACAATTTTGTCCTCAATTTGTGAATTCAACACGCTGGAGACGCTATCCTTCTGCACTCAAAGGCGATGTAATTTACCCGTGCCAGTCTAATGTCAAACCTTTGAACCGAAACCTAGCTTTCTCACTCTTGTTTTTAGTTTGTTTCGCATCAGTTGACGCTTAATGGTTGATGTTTTTGCGTCGTCGACGTTGATGTGTTTGGTCGAACAAAGCACGCAGGGCTTAATAGAAACGCACTATTTACAGACACAGCCATAGAATATTGACAACTATGGGCTGGAACACGCTTTTACATTTTATTTAACAGATTCGTTATGATGTAGAAAGGCTTGCGAGGCGACTAAATCAATCAGCAATTTGCCAACGTAGATAATTTTACCTTCGATGGGGTGTTGGTATATTAGAAGGATTGTCTTCGTGAAAAATGAAACCTGCCCTAAATAAGGTTTTTAATTTACAATAATTATACTTTCACACAACCACTTGTAATGACGTCAACACAATTTCCGAGTGTCCACGTTATGTCAAAAGCCAAGAAACCGCATCGAAATAAACATTAAGGGCAAAGTAACTAGCTTACTTTAAGCTGATTTCCTGTAAAATTGACGAAAATGCGAGATGCCGAGTTGTGCACATTGATTAGATTGCCATAATCGAATCGACTTTAGACTGACGGGTCAAAGGAATGGAAGGAAGAAATTGGTGGAAAAGGATATTCGATAAATTGTCAAAAAATGATAAACTTAACTACAAAGATTTTAAAGTTGACAAATTTTTTTTGTTATATATTTTCTAACGCGATTTCCTGGGAAAAATCATTTATCTAAGTGATTGTTTATTTGTGAGGTGCATATCTATCAATAATCGTTCAAATTTGTGCGTGTTTTTGTTCTTTTTAGAACTTAATCTGCCTTTTAAGGGTATTTTGTGAACCGAAATAAGTTATTTTAGAACAGCAATGAAAACGATTTCTATTAGTGATCTTGGGAGGAAGTACAAATCCAATGTAATTTTTGCATCAAAGACAAAATTAGTGCCACGCTGCTCATTGAGCTTACGAAACGTCAAGGCACTGCACTTGATGGTGATACAAATTACGAGTAGTGCAGCATTAAATACTACTTATTGCAATGACTGGGCGTGTGTTCTCACCCAACGTTGATGAGACTTCCACACCACAAACCTGCTAACTAGTGAGCCTCGGGTCAAATTCAAATTCTTAAAACTGGCCCACTGGAACGGGAGATTTCTTATCACTTGAGAAGTGCATTATGCGGTGGATTTGACTACGATGACCCAAGAAGCCTACTTTATAACATGAATTTTCAGTTAACTGACCTCTGGCAGATAACCGGAGCTTTGCAACCACTGGGAAGCAAGATCGAGTTGTCAATATGAACTAATTTAACATTTGCAAAGCAACAGCATGCCACTCCATACCTCTAACGATTGCGTTTGTTCTTAGCCAGAGATATTTAGGTAATAACACATTTAGTTTCGCAATTTTTGCTGACAGCCATTTAGAGACGACAATTTCGATTAGGCAGAATGTGTTCCCTTACACTACAGTAACTCATTCATGGCCATTTCTTATATCAATAAACAGCACAATTGCATGTATCAGGTTTTCCGAAAAAGGTCAATCAGCCTTTCATTTCTGGAAATGGATCTCTGCTTTGTTCAAATGCCAAAAGTAATCCCTAATCCTGAATGAACCAAGTAGTTGAAGAGATATTGTAGATGTTCGGTTTTATAAAGAAATGATGTGAATACACGTTTGACGTTTTCAGTAAGTGCAAAAATTAATTCTAAATGAAGTTTTGATAAATAACGCGTCTTTTTAAGGTTGACTTTCTACTGTAACGGTGGACCACAATGTGTTTCAATGCCTAGTCGTTTTTAAACCTGGGTGTTGCAGGCTTAATTTAGATTACTTTGTCACTTTTTTGACCTCATAATTACCATGCGATCGTTTACTAAAAAAAACATTAATCCCGATTGTATATTGTACTCTCGTGTCGATAATAGTCACTGAATTGGCAACAACCTCAAATTTTACATATACCAGTTAATTTTCTGTTTAAATGAGGCATCCTCACTTGGCTTGATTTACGTATCTGGATTATCTTCTTTACAAAGAAATCGTTTTCTATGCACCAATAATCTTTGGAAACCTATAACTCAAATGTTTGTGATTTCGTCTTATATTCTCACTAAGTCTTAAACAGTTACAACAGAGGGTTTTATTAGACTCATCAACCAGGCCAACGCATGCCTTGGGTAGCTGAAATCGATTCAAGCGAAGGTTGAATACACAAAGTTGGGACAGGAATGATTACTGAAATAAATATAATAGGATGAGTCAATGCAAATTCTTTTGAGCGTTGACGAAATCGTT